TGATAAATGGATAATGTTGACATAGTCATTATCATCAATGCTGTTAAACTGCTTATTTGATTTGGAAAATTTTTTTAATTTAGTGATTCAAATTTCAATTTTTTTTTTGTTGAAGCTGATGAAAGTACATCTTTAATTAGTTGTATCTAACAAATTTTGGAATTTTTTAATATTGATAATATAATGAGTTTGAAATTTAAATGCTATTTCATACGGTCTTTCTTTTATTTTGTTTCACCCTGCAAAATGATATTTGTTATCCATTTCCAATTCATACTTTCTACGTTTTTAATTTAAAAAAGCCAACAAAAACCTATTATTATTTGAATTCTTTCAATCACGCCACAGCTATTTCGATTCAATGAAATTTTTTCTTTTTTTTTTTTTTTTAAAGCTTTTCTCTTTTGAAATTAAGTTCGAAGTAAACTATTAAAGCATTATTGTTGTTTTATATCTGAAAAATGTTTGGTAGAAATCAATTAATTAACTAATTAATCAATCAAATACTAGAATTTTAATGATTGTTAGCAATGATTTATGAATTTTGTTAATGTTGAAATGTTGCTGGCATAGCTAATTACAGCTTTTTTTAATTACAATTTTCTGGAAGATTGTTGGCATATTTGCGCTCACTGTGATTTGCTAATCTTTCTAATTACCTTCTGATAATTTGAAAGAATTCTTCAATGAATGAGTCATGCTATTAGTTTTTATAATTAATTAATTACCAATTTTCATTGCAATCCTATGTTTCTTTTTCTTTACAACAATTGACAAAAAAAAAAAGAAAACTGGAATGATAAATATGAATTATTAACTGATTAGAGAAGATATTTTCTTATTATCATTGATTTGTTCATAATTAAAACAAATTTTAAACTCATTTTTCAATTTCAATGCAATTATAATTTGAGTGGAAAAAGTAATGTTTCATTCACACTTTTGTTAATAAATTCATATCTTATCCAAATAAACGATATAAAATATTAAAATGAGTTATGTAGCTCGTTTTCTCTCTTATCATATTATCATATCTATTATTTTCATTTTATATTTTAGTATTGCCACAGAAAGAAATGAATTCTCTTTTTTTTTTTTCATATTTTAATCAATGGGTAATTAAAGAAATGTTAAAAACGAAAACATTTAACAAATATTTTATCAGGCAGATACATCAAATATAATTCAAATGATCACATATTTATCACAAGTATTAATCAAAGTTAATGAAACAATAACTTTGATATGAAGGATGAATAGTTTATTTAGATAAAAAATGATATTTAATGCATTATTTATAATTTTTTTTTTTTAAATTTTGATTAAAATCAAACAAATTGAATTTCTCATTTGCCACTATGAAATATTAAATTTTAAGTGAAAATGAATTGTTTTAATTGCCTTATTTTCACCTATTTTTTGTATCACAAAAAAAAAAAAAAAAGAAATCAATGTGAAATTAAATATATGCAATGAAAAAAGTTAAGAAATAAGTAAACTAAAAAGTTGAAATAGAAAATGTTATTATTGTGTTAGCAATAAGCAAAAGCGCAGATGTTAGGCGGTGAATTAATATATATGATTAATTACACATAGCAGATATGCACAAACAATTAAAATTAAATATTGACACAACTGTTAGATGTCACAAAAGAATGTATGGGAAGATGGATGAGAGAGAGAGAGAGAGAGAGAGAGAAAAAAACGATAACTTTTATAATGGTTTCATTTTTTTTTGTACTATTCATTCCATCATAATATTCTTTTTCCTTTTCATCTATCGCACTCTTAAGATATATATTATATTATTAGCGCAAATGTCGCAAAGTAATACTTTAAGGGCGCACCGAATTTTCAAGAATGATTGCTATTGAAATTAATGATTGAATGAGTTACGATAGAATTATTGTGGTGGAATGATGATACTTTATATATAAAAAAGAATGAAACAGATGTTGGTATTGAATTTGTTGATTGAATTATAAGCGTTAGCCTTGTCTTGATCAATTTTTAATAGTTAATCATAATTTAAAAAATAAGAAAATTAGAGAAAAAGATATAATGAGAATGAGAAAATGGCGAAATTCTTCCAGTTCATCTTAAAATAATAAAAAATAAATAAAATTTTATTAGACAATTTAGCAGTAATATTGAAGACATTTTAAATTTACTATAGCATTGAGAAATGTAATAAATGTCAGAGAATGAATTTAAAATATGATAGAAGAAGAGGAAAATCATATGCTAGTGTTAAAGATTAATTTTAATGGATGAGTCTTAATATTTCCTAACAAATAGTTAGATTTAACTTACTTCTATCTAAATCAATCAATTATAATCATATAAAGCAATTAGTTATCTCTATTGATAGTGCTCATATTGGTTATTTGATTTTTTTTTTTTTTTTTTTGTTAATTATTTCAGATACTCTAAATAAATGGATCTCTTTTTTCTTGGAACCCATAATTTAAATAATTAAATTAAAAACTAATTGCAAAATTAAACAAAATATTTAAAATAAAATATTAAACCATTAGCTCTTTCTTTTTTCTATTCTTTCTAATTACATTACTAGTCTTAATTCATTTAATTAATTTGTGAATAGAGCAAAGGCTAAAACTACTTTTTCTTCAAATTTGAAAACGAGAAGTAAAAAAAAAAATTGAAATTATTAATTTGGTGATACTTTTTAACTGTTCCTAAATGCATATCAACATATTTATTTATAATATCCATAAAATATTTGAATAACTTATACATTGTCATGTAATTGATGATTTTGAAATGAACATATGAAATACATTGGCTTAATAGAGCATAATAATTAGCTAATAATTATTAATAATAATTAATTAAGCCATGATTAGCTCAATTCACCGATTTTTAGACGCCGAAAGTTACTTCGGCACAAAATCTTGTCTTTTTCATTTTTAATTTTGTATATATCTGTGAAATTTATACATCTTCAAATACTACTTTTTAATAGTTAAAAAGTTAGCAGAATAGCTAAAAAAGCTATTTTTAATCATTTATAGCTGAGAAATTTTGAATTATTTTCATACATTTTGTATATAAATTAGTGAAATTATTTAGAAAGTAAAGGATGAGATTTTCAAATAATTCTAGAATGTATGCGCTAAGATTTTAAATTGCTTAAAAATCTAATTTTTATTACAAATACTTTTGAAAGCATTTATTTCATTTATCATTTGGGTATAGTAATAGCATTTCTAAATTCGATTTTATTAATTTGAATAATTAATTAATCTGAAGATGAAATCAAATACTAAATCATCGAATATGAACTTATTACAGAATAAAATCATTAGAAATTTACTTGAAAATTGTTCCTTCATCACCAAACATTTTAAAAGCTTTACTTTTCAAAATTTACTAATTTAATTATTAATCATTACTTATCCACATATATTTTTCACCATTCTTGGTAAAACTAGTTACCCTTTCTGCATTTATCTGTGAACTTCTAATTATTCGTTTAAATTTTTGTAAAATTTTCCTCTAAAATTTCAGTCCACTAAATCTAGTTAAACTTATATTTCCTATGTTAAACATCTACATATCATCCTTTCTTAAATTTGTTGCTTTAAAAACAAAAAAATAAAAACAAAACTTTCAGATATTTTCTTTTTTTTGCATGAAATCATCTCTGAAAAAAATGAAAACAAATTTTAAGATTTTATTCTTTAAAATTGCCGTCTCATAAATATCATCTTTTTTTTCTTTTTGCTGCCACAAATATATTACTGACTATACAGCAAAAAATTATAAATCAATAATTAATTAAATTTCATTTATTACATTACCTTCATCTATCTCTCAAATATTTAAATGATAGTGAAAATTTTTAATCTTTCTTCCTTAAACATTTTAAGTATTATTTCATTTAAGAATCTATTCTTTTGTAACTTTTTTCTAGTTAAAATAAGTGTTGTGCAAATAATAAAGAGTAATAGTTGAAATAATTGTAATACTAGTAAGTAAGTAATAGTTATTAATAGTAATACTAGTACTAGTATCTAGTAGTAGCAGTAATAGTAGTAAGTAGTATTAATAGTAGTACTCTTAACTTTTTCTCGACAACTAGAATTGTAATATGTATGTTTAACTTTAGTGTTGTTCTAATGATGTAAAAATATTTTTTGAAATGTGTACATTTCCTCTTAACAATTCAGTCTTTCGTTCTTTTTTTTTTTTTTCATTAGTATGAGTTGAATTTAAATTGTAAAAATTTAACTTAACAGCAATCATTCCACCTTTTCACGGTTTGCATTCAATTCCAGCTCATCTTAGAAAGCTTTTCTTTCATACAACTAAATTCTCATACTTTCACTTTTTTTCCTTTACTTTTTTTTTATCTTTATCTTTATCTTTTTTTTGTTTTTTTGTTTTTTGTCTTTTTTTTTTGAACTTATATACATCATAGAGAGTAAAAAGAAATAAATGATTGATGCCTTGCGCTATTTTATTTGGGTGTTTTTTTTTTTTTTTTGCTAATCTATTACGCTTGTTTAGCAATAACGCCATTTCATTTTTCAATTTCGTTCCTACTAATCTGACGATAGGTCTTTAATTCTTGCTACCTTGTCATTCTTTCAAATAAGACTATCCAACAAAAAAAAAAAAAAAGAAACATAAAATAAGCTTTTTTGTTTCTATTATGAAATTAATTTTAATTCTCATTCAACTGCTTCACTTCATCAAAATCTTCAAGTAATATGCATCATATTTCTCCTTTCAATGTTATATTCAATTAATAGCGCTCACAAATGAATCAAAAGCAAAATGACTATTTCTAGCATTTCAAATGAATTTTATAGGAATAATCAAAAGAATTAAAAATTATTATCCCTCAAATAGCAACGAAACAACAGTTGGTAAAGTAATTTTTATCGTTATCAGGTAATTAATTTTTTTCCTACAAATATTTAATTGGACAAATTTAACGATGAATGAAAGCAGTGATTTTATATTTGCATTTTTCATCCAAATCTTATACTTCGAAGTTCCAAATTTTCACCTGATGTTATTAAATCTATCAAACACAATAACTGAAATTAAAGATATATTGTAAAAGTTTCTTGAAATTATATTTATCACATGATCATTCAATCTATACCGATACTTTCGAAATCAGATATGCATTGCTAACATATCTAATTTCATCAAAGATAATATTATCGGTTGTTTGAAATAACAAAATTGTTCAGTTCATTCCATGCTAAATGATTTCCTTAATTCACTGAAATATTTCTCAGTGACAGCAAAAATTCTCCCTAAAAGTTCTAATGAATGGCTATAATGTAATTTCACTTTTTCATACTCATTAGATAATAATTAGGAATGTTAATTTTGATAGATGAATGATTCAGTCTACAGAAATCGAAATTTTTGCTCTCAAGAATCTTATGTAGTGTTATGCTAATCCATTTCGTGAATAAAATGATTTTTATTCCTGTTACAGTATAATAAAGTTCTATAATTTCTTTTTTCTTAAATACAATTTGGAATTTAAGTATCATACTCAATAAATTATACATCTTTAGCACATATATTTTATTTAACAAATGATCTTTATTTTCTATGAATATAAATAATTTAAATCGAAAGCCTAATAAGATGATTGTATTCCTAATTCAATAAAAATATTAAACAAATAAAACTAAACTAAATTTTGCCACGAAAGTTTTTAAAAATTTGCATATCAATTGCCCACAATAGTATTTATTTGGGAATGAATTTAAATTATAGTTAATAATCACATCTGTTCATTACCACAATAATTTAAATTATTTTTTCAAATGGTGAAAATGAATAGTTATTTAAAAGAAATACTCGTATTATTATTCCACTTCCACTTATGAACCGAAGTAAATTATCATTTAACATGCTAGCCTTAGATGCTGTATTATTATTATTATTATTTTTAAGTCGTGGAAATGTATCTTGAAATGATTTTTCATTGCAATAGTCCGTATCACATCCGCATAAATAGCTTTCACCTTTACCACCTAATAAATCACTATGCACTCTGCATTCGCTAGCCTAAATTGAATTATTCTGCTTGTTTTAGGTTATTAAAGTATAATGCAGAAGGATTTTAGATGAGCTCACTTTATCTTCTGATTCATCCTCTGATGAAGCTAAAAGTTGATATTTTTAATGGTTAAAAGTGATATTTTTAAAGTGATCAAATGATTTTTCTCGCTTTACTTATCAACGGATGCATCATAATGCTCTTGTTAAGAGTAATAAATGTTGTTTTTTTTTTTCATTTTATATAAATTGTAATTTGTGCCTATTCATTTAAAAATTATATAATTTTAACCTTCTAAATGACATTCCTTCCTTTCTACAAGCTAAATAAATTCAATTCAACTACAAATTAATTTTCATCCAATTTTAAATCTAAGAAAAAATCTTTACAAAAAATAATACCAAACATGCTTCCATGATATTTTCCCATGGTTTTCCAGTAAGTGATGGAACATAAATTAACATATCATCCTGTATATCATCTGCATCACAACCTTTTATTTGGAATATGTGACGATTGTCTAAAATTACCACATTGTAATCTTTTATCATCAATATACAATAGCTTTAAAGAGATGTAAACGTAATGATATGATTAATCTACATTTGTACATTTCATTTTATGCTATTATAAAATTATAGCTGAAAGGAATTTTCTTTTGTTTAATTTTCGCAATATTTATATATTTAGATTAAAATATTTCTTTCAATTCAAAATATGAGGATTATCTAGGAGATAAAATATGATCAGATAAATTAAAAGATTATAATTTAGCATCTTACGATGTAATTCAGCTGTAAAACAGCAAGAGCTTGATTCACAATCCTCTGTTTCATTGATCTTTGATGCTGATTTTCCTCGACGAAAATAAATTTGACATCTTATGGCGTTTGTTGCAGATATAACAAATGCAGAAATAATAAAAGCTGCAATTTAATAAAAATATAATTAAGATATTTTTATGGATTTGTTTTCTCGTTTTTTTTTTTTTTTTTTGATTTCTTAAATTATCGAAATTGAATTTTGCAATTTGTTGCCTTTTCTATTGAAATTTTCGTTTACCAAAGATTGCAAATACTCTTCTATTATAAAAAATACTACCAGCGTGCATTGCGTCAACCATTTTGTTTGTTTATAAATAGCACAAATGATAGTTAATTTGAATATATTTTATTATTTGTATAGTTTGATTGATTAGTTATATTTTTTTTGAATCTTTTTTTTTTATTTTTTTCACACTTGTAATAACTCTTTTGAAATATAATAGTGAAGAGAGTTGGTTGAAGCATGTGAAGATGCAATTCTATGATATACAAATATTGAAAACAAAACAAAAAGAGGAAAAAATAGAAAAAAAAAAGACTTGAACTGAACACTCTGACAATATACTTCAGTTATTACAAGTGAGAAACGAATGAATAAATCGATAAATCGAGGAAATATCATAAAGTTTTAAAATGATAGTTAATTTAAACACAAAAAAAAACACAAATGCAAATTTAAATACAAATTGAAATATATATAAAACATAAATATTATTCCTAATATGCTAACTGTTTATAATTAATTCATTTAGTATTTTCAGTCTCTCAAAAGAAAAACCTCATCAAACGATATTCAACAATATGAAGCAGTGCATTAATTAATTAACTAATTAATTAATTAAATATCGACTGGCACCTAAAATTAATCCAGAATAAAAAACTAACCAACAAATAAATTGAAATATACGATTATAAATGCATCATTCCTAATATGCTAACTCCTCTAATTTTCACGGGCCGCGCACTTACGCACTTTTGAACTTTTTTTTTTTTGGCATGGTAACCGGAACTAGTTTTCCGGAACTTAACCTAAAATTGTTTAATCACGTAATCTAGAAAGACTAACTTACGTAGAATATACGTAGTTAGTGGGAAAGAAATGAAAAAAATTGTTAACAAATGATTAGTTGAAAATAGACAAATGAAATTGAAAGAATTGTAGCAATGAGCGAATAATTCGCTCTTAAACTGTCATTATTTTATATTTAGCATATTTCATATATCAAATTTCAAAGTAATGCTATCTCTCGGATAGAAAAAAAGGAGATAATGAAGATAACCTCTAGCTAGAAAGACAGAAAATTAAATATGAATTGAAGTATCTCAAGAATTAATTAATTGTTTGCTTAACATATAGTTAGTTTTAATTTAATGAACATGCATTCCTCTACCTTATTATTACTTGTTTCCTATTCCTAATGTTAAGATGATATTTTTGAGATCTGTGAAATGTGATATTTTGTATCGTGATCTTCTGCTTTTTCATTATCCTTTTCTTCTTTTTCTCATCTTTCATTTCTTTTCACTTTTTCATACATTGTGAAGTAAATCATTATAAAATTTCAGGACAATTCTTGGATTATCCTCGTCATTCCAGTATCCTTTGACAATATTCAGTTATGTTCATTCAGGATTAAAATCACTTGTATGATGAGTTGTTCGATATCATCAGCAGCGTCTTCCTACGGTGAACAACAGCCTATAAGATCTATTGCCTCAGACGGTACTTTAGTTTCCATTTTATTTCTGATTTTTTTTTATTTGAATAGTGTATTTTCATAAGGTTGTTTGAAATCCAGTATAAAAAGGACAGGAAGAAATTGTTAGGTAATTGATAGGAAGAGTTTTTTTTTTTTTTTGCTCGTGTAATCACGTTCTTTATAGAAGAGAAAGATAACGACATATGCAGTCTCAGTTGCCTTGTTACAAACTGCCTTTGTACAACCAGGTAGTTAAATTTTCCATCTACGTAACGCTATTTCATTGTTTAGTTTAATTTTTTTTCATGTAAACTTTTTTTTTCGTTTTTACAGTTGTACCACTGGCGAATCCTCGCCGCCAGCCTTGAAACCTTTTCTCCGTCCTAGTTTATTTTCCAATGTGCCTCCGACAATACGATTTTATAGCAAGGAATCAAAAGGTTTGTTTTCAATACTAATATCAATTGTTCTTGAATTGACAGAACAAATTTAGTTTCAGTTTTCGCCAGGATCTACATTCGTCATAGTTGTTTTAACTAGCGTGTTTTAAAAAAGAAAGTTTATGAAAGAAGAACTTCGAAGATTGTATTGTGAGATTTCAAGTTATAAGTTTTAAAGTCTTGGTTTAGCTGAAATAATTACTGGTTGCAGTTACAAAACCGAGCAAAGCGATTCGTTCAACACTAATGTGGTGTAAAAATAGTCTTTTACCTATTGTTATGCGACAAAGCCTTGCTGCAAGTCATTTTACAATAGTTGATGAATCGAACTTTTGGATTGGTTACTGGGGACGACACTTAAAATCGACTCAGTACCGAGCAATTAAGCCATATCAGAAGGTGTCATTTCTTTGTGTTTGTGCTAGATAAGTAGTAAGACTTTATTGTCTTTTTGTAATTAATCCAGCATTTTAAATTATTGTTATTACTAATGTTTTCCAATTTCATGCTAGCCACTTAACTTTTCTGATTAGGATTTTTTTTAAGTTCAAGTTTTTGCTATAATCTAACTAAATCAGTATTGCTAATAGGTTAATCATTTTCCTGGTGCATTTCACATGGGACGAAAGGATCGTCTTTGGCAACACATAAATGAAATGATTGCTCTGTGGGGTTTGGATGAATATCACATTATGCCAACAACTTATGTTCTACCACGGGATGTAAAGAAATTGAAGGCTTACCTTAACAGTAATACTCCTCATATCGTCATACTTAAACCGGTATACTGTTTTGAGTTTTGCATTCTGTAAACAAAACATCCAGTAGTGACTGTGTTTTTGCTATATGAAATGAGCTCGATACTTTTGCATTGTAGTTATTTATGTAATAAAATTTTCTTGCTTTATTAATCAGCGTAAAAAGTTACGCATTTGGTAATCAGAAATCAAGAAATGAATTTAAAGTTGTTCTTAATGCTTTAAAATTATTTGTTATAGCCTGCATCTGCTCGAGGCACAGGCATCAGTATTGCTAGCAAAATTAAACAAATTCCAAAAAAAACACCACTTGTTGCTCAGCAGTAAGTTTTCATTCTGCAGATTTTTCTGTGGAACTTATGTTTATTAAAAACCTATTTAATTTCTTAAAAGTATAATTATAATTTTTAGTTATATTCATCGGCCGTTAATTATTAATTCGGCAAAATTTGATTTACGTTTATACGTTTATGTGACAAATCTTGATCCTTTACGTATATACTTATACAATGATGGCCTTGTTCGATTCGCAAGTATCCCGTAATTTTCTTTGCTTTTTGTGTAGCTTTATGAAAATTTCAATTTTTTCTGTTGAACCGAAGACAACATACAGAGGGAACAATTTTTTGACTCTTTTTTTTTTGAATTTTGAAAAATTAAGATTACTACAAGGTACATATCTGCAAAGATAGGTTAATATATTTGCAGTTATTCTTCTGCACTTAGCTCGATGTCAAACAAATTTATGCATTTAACGAACTATAGTATCAATAAGTTGGCACAGTCAGCAGGCGAACGTACGACGCCTGTGCCGAAATGGAAATTATCGGATTTTTGGACACATATAGCTGAGCATATAGATGTAGATGTTGTTAAACCAAGGATAAAGGATATTATTATCAAAGCTGTCCTTGCGTAAATTTTTCTGATATTTCTTGGTCTTAGCTTAGATCGAAAAGAACTTGTATCATTTGGTCTTTTGTTTGGCAAATAAATTTTTTAATTAGGTTTAATTTCTTATTAGAAGTTACTATATATTTTAAGTTATTAAATAATCTTATTTTAGTTGTGAAAATCACATTCGGATACATCAGAAAAAACACAGTTTGTATACTTTCACAAGTCATGAGCTTTATGGAATGGATATTTTACTTGATGACACTCTCAGGCCTTGGTTATTAGAGGTAGCATATTTTTACACTTTTATGAAAAAAATTCTTTGACTAAAATCAGTTCAAAATTTCGAAATGGAAGCATTCATTTGAAGTTGATTTTTAAATATATCAAAAGAAATACAATAGCTAAGTCTCGACCTAATAATTTTTAGGTAAATATTTCACCCTCATTGCACTGCGCAACACCTACAGATATAGCCGTCAAAACAACGCTTGCAAAGGACGTACTGAATCTTTGTGGTATCCAGATTCCACCGGATTTGATGTGAGTATGCTTTTAAGTTCTATTTTTGGAAATCTTATGTATGAAAATAGTATGAAGTGCTTATTCATTGCTTAATGTTTAAAAGAAAAAAAAATTGTTGCAAATTCTATGAATATTTCAGGGATAAAAGTAATACGTTATCTATGGATTATCGCGTAAAATCATTTGACGGTAATAAAAGCAATGAAGATTTAAAGAAGGAGCGACATCATCTTGAATATTTTAAGAGAAATAGAGTGAGAGATTTATTTGTTTTATTGCAGTAATACATCCTTGATCTGTGGGTAGATTAATAATATGTGACAGTTTATTTCTTATTCTAACAAAAATCATGAGTTTTTTGACTATACTTCGGTTCTTTTTACAAATTCTCAATTTTTAAAGTTTACTGAAACTGTGGATTTTTATAATCCTTCTAAAAAAGTTATAGAAAATTGATCGAAGGATACTGGATGAACTGACAGGTTGTGACGCACGGATTTTGATTGAATTTGAAGACGAATTAGATCGTTCCGGTAATTTCGATCTCATATTTCCCACCGCTGAGACGATTGATTACGTCAAGTACTATAACAGTCCGTTGACCTACTCAAATTTGTTGTTGGCGCAATGGCAAGTGGAGCAAGAGGCACGTGGGCGTGAAATTGGCATAGGTATTTTGGAAGATATTTCGAGTAAAAGTGAACATCTGGCTGATACAGACATTTTTGAAAATGCGAACTGAGCGGTTATTTCAAATTTAAAAATTTTGTATTTCAACTCAAAATTTGATTTTATTTTGCCAGCTATGGTTCTGAACTATATAGGATTAAATAATAGCATGTTGCGCATTAGTGTAACAGAAATTTCTTTTAGTGTGGTCTGACCGTGAACATGCTTATCAAGCTTATTTCACGATATAGTACAACCTTTTACTACGTCAGTCCATCTAATATTCCTCTTATACAGGTTGTTGTGTTCAGGCTTTTCATATTGCTCATATTATATTGAAGCTGATCTGACTTATTATATAAATTTTATGCCTCATGCTTTTGTTTGGTAACATTTTCGAATGTCTTCTTCTCTGCCAGTGTATCGTGTGACATCTATGCCACAAAATTTTCTAACTACTTACCTTTTAGTGTTTGCCTTATAGTATATATCCCAAAGTATAGTGCATCATTTCTTTTTTTAAAATGCTATCAAGTTCCAAAATACTGGAATGAAAAATTTTTCCTTATTCTTAAAGAAGGTTAGAGTATTCAGTAATGAAGTTGCCACACTAAAGAAGAATTATTTCTAATAAAATAAAGTTTCCGCCATTATAATTGATAAAATCTAAGAAGTGCAAGACATTTATATATTTATTTGTAAAACTGTAGCTGTTTTCACATTTAATCAGTCTTTAAAACTAAAGTGTGGCAACTATTTCATATTACAGTTATATTCTGAATCCATATTACTTAGGAATTATTTCGACAAGAGCATATTTTGCAAACTATAGTGTTTTATTTTCATCACTGGAAAAATTAAAGCTATCTGCGATTGTCGAAGAGAATCCTATATCTAATATCATAGCATATTAAAATTTAAACTTGATAAGAAATTATACCTTCATATTTGTTTATTTTGCATGGCAGAGTTGTTTGTTGTATTCTTGAACTCGTAAACTTCTTAATAACCTTTAGCCAGTTAGATTTCGGCTGGAATTCTTTACATATGTGTTCTCATTTCAAGCCTTTATTTCCACACACTCTGTTATCATTTGATCGGTTTACATTTTGGTGAAATTTCAATTTTGGTGATAGTTTGAACTGTTTTAAGATAAAGAATTGTGTCAAATATTCTGTATTGCTACTCTCTTATGTTTCCTTAACCATTTGTATTTTGAAGATGCATACTACATTACTTATGTTTTGATGAGCTGATGATATTGTGCGCCTTTCATTGCATTATCTGTTTCACTAACTTATCACTCTTAGTTAAATTCCACTTTACTTCAAGTTTCAACAACATTTCGCTTTGTAAATTGTTATTTTGCTTATTTTTGACACATTGACACAATAAATATTCATTTTAATGGAGTGCCTTTTTGAAATGTTACATTAAAATATATGACCTTCGATAAATTCTAACTGGTTTTTAAACCAGCGAATGAGTGATTTAGAAGGGAAGTTTAAATTATAGATACTTGATTCATGCTAAGAAGTTTTTACAATACTTTAACTAATTGTAACCAAATATTTCAGATCACATTTGGTTCTTCCTCTTCTTCCTCTCCTGAAGATCTAACTGATATGTCTCGAGTGACATTTGACGACTTTCATACTTCAGAAAGTGATACTTAAAGGTAGCTGACTGCTTGATAAGTTGTAACATCTGAATAGTAATCTCAGCAACTTGTGGAAAAACATCTAACCAATACCAGTCAGAAAAGTCACACATAAATATAATAAACTTTAAACTGATGTTCTAAAATTAGAAACACTACTTCATTTTTAATCTTAAACACAGAAAGAAACAAAGGCAAAATATCAAAAGTTGAAACTACAGTATAATCTTTTTTACTATTTGGTACAACTCAACAAAGATAAAATTTGAAGGATTTCGTGTGATTCACATCTTCTTTTTCTAAGCTCCCAATAATTAATTGAATTTTCTCCAACCGCTATTTCATTTCTATTACAAAGAAGTGATTTAACTGTACTTTCAATCGTTTAGTTATTTCTCATACTTTAATAATTCCACTGTAATCAAATGAAAATCTGGTCAAGTGGCTTTACTTTGAAACTAACTTAAATGGTTCTTAAAATGCTAACATAACATTCAAATGATATATAACAAGGCTCAACGATGTGACATAAAATTAATGAAAAGGAAAAATTACAAAGTATTAAGTAAGTTTTGGAAGAATGATTTGAACAATATTAAAAGCCATTTTTAAATGTAATCACTATTTCAGCCTTTAGATTTTTTTTTAAAATCTTTAAATACATACTATAACCCAATATTTGCCTCCATTCTCTGTTCATACTTTGTAAGATAACTGTACGATAAATAGTCCTGAGAAATTACTCTAATTATTTCTCAAAAAGCTCTCTATGTAAATGTAAGTTAAAGTATTCAATCATACTTTTATTTCTTTCCTTTTGGAAAATAAAACATAACAATGTAACAATACAGAAATGCTTAAATGACTGTATGCAAATTTAATTTACATAGAAAAGCACATTAAGTATATTTCTTTCAGTAAAACCAATTTTATAATGTGTCAAAATAATTTTGCATTAAATTCATAAAATAGGAATACATAGACTAAAAATTGTCTTATATGAATATTTTTTACAAAAATATAAAACTATTTCAGTTTTATATTTCAGGTAAGAAATTATTTATTCAACATCTCCAATCGTATTAAGTTTATGTGTATTGTCTAGAATGTTATATTTTATTAAATATCAACTTTTAGCTTCATCAGAAGATAAAGTGAGCTCATCTAAAATTACTCCGAATATAAGTTTGATTGCCCAATCAGACAACTCAAATCCCTGCTTAGGAAGTTATAAGTTATTCAATTAGCTTTTAATTAGCTTTTTTTTTTTTATTATAAACCAATCTTATTTGCAGTGTCGGAATATTACACAGCCTTTCCAATATGACAATCACTCTTACAAGCAATTCACATAATATTATAAACCCGTCATATAGGATAAAAATCATTTAAGAATGACTTGAATCACTATAATCATCCATTTCGCTGTAAGCTAAAATGTCCACTACATAAAAACTCAAAATCACTATCGAGCATCAATTCTTAGTAACAGTAATTTCAAAAGCTTCAACTTATACTCCCTCCACATTCCATCAATTTTTATTTAACGACAATCTGCAAAACAATCTCAAACAAATTAATATTATATTCTAAGAGTCGTTTTATCTAGACTTTACGTCAACCAATCACGATAGAGACTTCATTATTAATTAAATAAAAACTAATATTTCTCTGTATGCCTTTTTTAAATTAATCATCAAGTCTAACATACCGTCAAAACAAGACTTCAAAATAATGACCCAAAATTTTCTATGCTATACTATTTCATCATTCAAATTTCAGACCAGATACAGATACAACAATCACTGACAGGTCAGAAAAGTATATGCAACAATTTTTAAATACTGGTCGGAATCATTTTCAAGTCAATTTTCATACCCAATTTCTTTCAAAGACTCTTACGGAATAATTGTAGTACTGCACATTCCTAATGATGGCAATTGAGAATCACTGATCATTTTTTGACGCTTTCGAATTAATCGATCATTAGGCAAATTCAGCTTATGCAGTAAAGTGTGTATTCTCTGCGATAGGTTTCCATTTTTCAGTAAAGAGTTGATACCGGATAATATTTTTTTTAATTCTTCTTCGAACTGAGTAGTTTGAGACGAAGCACGAATTTGTAATAATACCTGCAATTTGAAATTTTTGAAAATAAGAATTCAGTGTTACTAGAACTTTTTTCAATTGAAACCTGGATTAATGCATCATTTTTCAGATATTAACAATCAGTAAAACTTTTTTGAAATCAATCGAATATTAAACATTTGATGAAACAGAGAAAAGACCAAAATATGTGAATAACATTTAATTAAAGAACCTAATTTATGAATAACATTTAACTAAAAAACCTAATTTAATGTATTGCCAAATATTTCTAAAAGCTTACTTTATTTAACACTCCAAATATTTCCGCCCATTCTTTTTCATTAGCAGAAGAATCTTCTTCTGATGCACTCATTAGAAATAGTGAAACAATTCCAGAAAGTGCTAAGAGAAATTTTTCAGGTGAATAAAGTGATGACTTTGACGATTGTTGTGGCTGTGAACCAAGCACACAAAAATCAATCAAAGGATGAGTGGTTGAAGCTAAATTAATATTGGTATGATGCTTATTACGAATGCTAAACGATGCAACATGAAGAGGTCCAATTGTCGCACATTCCTCTACCAAAAAAGCTTGCAGGAAAGCATGCACACCATCTAGTAACAACTGAAAAGAAAAGTCATCAAGTCAATTGCATGAAAGACATTAAAATTTTTTTTTTTTTAAAATATCGGACAGTTTTATTTTTTAATTTAATTTCATTTTAAATTTACAATTAGCAGAAACATAAATTAGAGCTCAAACATATACATTTCCTTTTATAGTAAACATTTATAACCTATTTTCTGCACTGAACAAATATATACTTTTATCTTCTTATGAATCCTTTCTTTTTCAAGCAGCTGGCATGAGATTTCCATCCCTAATGTGTGGAGTATTCAAATCAAAATATTTCAAAAAAATTGAAAAATGTTCGCTCTTACTAAATTCAAGCCTCAAATTTCAAGCATCGTAATAAAAAAAAAAATCCAAGAACCTTTTTGTTTGCTGGAATTCTCTTACTATTTAGAAATTCCACGAATGAATCGAATAAATCGGTACTATTTCGACAAAGACCAGGATAAGTTCGCATTATGAGCGTTAAAATGGTAAGCGCATAAATTCGTACCCCCATTCTGAGATGTGTTAAAGCTCGAAGAGTATGAGCCATTAACAGAGTGAAATGGGATGAAATCGTCGAAGCATTCGTTGTGCATAATAATTCCAGAAGACTACGTAGCTGAGCATGAAATGATGAATCGCTCTTCTGAAATCAATTGATAACTGACATCCCATTTGAAGTTTATTATTAAATTTCGAGAAAAAA